TTTGGTCTTTTGCTTTATCTTTGGTACTCGAAGAACGAACACTATAGAATTTGTTGGTATAAGATCTTGCGTTAGTATAACCCGTACAACTCGCGAACGTCGATACCTGCAACCTCTAAAACGTAATACACCTGGTTGCTCAATATTTTAGCACCTTACTCTGTAATTACTGTTGATAAAACGCAAATTAAACAGACTTAATGAATTGGAAACTTGCTATAGCTAGCAGTATATTTGAGTAAAATAAAAAGGCCAACATTGTCTGAGGAAAATAACAAGAATTCATCCGGCAAATATGGCTATATTACAAACTCAAAAGACTTGCGTCTTGACAGAAAAACGTAGAGGAGTAAAATGGCTGTGGAGCCTGTCCGTGTGTGTATACGTCAAGACAAAGCCTTCAAATATTGGAAATCGCACCGAACATGTCTTTTTGATTTTTCTTGCATTGAGACACTGAGTGAGACCTTCTTAACCTACAGATTTGTGTTATTTTGAAATAAATTTGGACGAATCCCCCCTGTTCTAGTTAACAGACCTAAGTTTTTTCAAGGGACTTACAATGAAATTTACATATTAGCTCCGATACATATTTTCACATCTGTTTGCAGCTTTTCCGTAAGCAGTTCATTGTTCATAGCGTCAAGAGAATATTATGATCTACCAATATTCACTGCAAGTCGACATGCATATATAGAATTTCAAAATACAACGAGCATTGTTGTTGACTGTGGCGTCATCGTGGAACAGTTTTATTTGATAAAGTCACAGCGATGCATCATCATCTGCTGCAACATTTACAGCATTATATACTCTGAATAATACTGTATCACTGCCTTCTTACCAAAGGAAACTATGAAGAACTCCTTTTGCGTTAGTACTCTCATTGCATTTTTCCTACCACTACGTAACATATCAAAGCTCAAGTAAGCATCGTTATGGATTATATCCCAAGTGTCTTGAAATGCTTAGTCAGTGACTAGGTTTTAAAGGATATATCTAAAGACTTTTCAGAATTTTTCTAGGGAGTGTAATTTAATCTCTGCAAGCTGTCCTGTATGAGATGTTTATTTTCAGATGTTCTGGGAGATCTGAATTTAGCCAAGGTCTTCCCTATCACTATTATGCAGCATCCTTTGCATGCGAGAAAATATAATGTGGCACACTAACCTTGTTTGAAATGGGAAACGCAACTACCTATTATGAAGTGTTAAAAAAATTCTACTTCCACGCTGGCAGGAAACATCGTTTCACTCTGTATAAGTGGGCCATAAGTTGAAAAAGATTTAATAAGACGAAATTGTCTGACTTAAAATACCGTATTTAAAGTTTAAATTCCAGCGCAAACTTGTTTAAATTGATGCTCATCCAACAACGCGCGGTTACCTACTATATAAGCGTTCACGCGTGGCAATGTAACGTGGCACAGTCATGAGATCATCACCGGGTTTTCATGCACGCGCATGTTGTCGTCAGTTGTAAGTTTCCTAGTATAATGATGAGAACTTGTGGATGATATCATGAAAGTCACTAGATAGTATCTGATAATTTTAGACAATTTCATCGATGTTGGTTGTCTTTTCAGGTTGCTACTGATGTAATTTTCTGGCCACTATTAATGATGCACGGCGCTGTCACATGGTGAGTAAATCTTACTTAAATGATGAACTTGTGAGCCTTTAATGATAATGATTAATCCAATGATAGGCCTGATTGTATTTCCATAATTCGTGCAGATGCTAACACATGCTCTTCTTATTGTAGGTCATGAAGTAACCCAATGACCAATAAATCCAACTACAGGTGAGTTGACTGAATGATGGATTATGTTTGAATTGAAACGTGATTTTCTTGCTCAACAGGACTGACTTTCCTTGACCCACTGACTAACAGTTACTCTTTTGTCATTTCAGGTTCCCAGTTACTGGTAAGTTATGCATTAATGTATTTCCTTGCATTCTGTATCTCCCCTTCTGTAAAGGGGTCGTTTTGAATGCGAAATGAATACGTGATTCGTTGGTCGGCTGCAAGCTGTCCTGGTAAACCACGTGACACCTAACCTAGACGTTTCTTGTGATAGCATTAGTTCGACAATTCTTGGACTTGTAACTTGAAGTATGTTTTGTTGTTTTGCAGGCTTCAGTTTGGCGTGATGTCAGTTTTACAACGCGAATTTCCTGAATGTAAGTATGCGTATGAATGATGAACTTGTGAGCATTTAATGATAATGATTAATTCAATGATAGGCCTGATTGTATTTCCATTACATGTGCAGATGCTAACACATGCTCATCTTATTGTAGGTCATGAAGTAACCTAATGGCCAATAAATCCAACTACAGGTGAGTTGACTGAATGATGGAATATGTTTGAATTGAAACGTGATTTTCTTGCTCAACAGGACTGACTTTCCTTGACCCACTGACTAACAGTTACTCTTTTGTCATTTCAGGTTCCCAGTTACTGGTAAGTTATGCATTAATGTATTTCCTTGCATTCTGTATCTCCCCTTCTGTAAAGGGGTCGTTTTGAATGCGAAATGAATACGTGACTCGTTGGTCGGCTGCAAGCTGTCCTGGTAAACCACGTGACATTTTTTTACCTTGACATGTAATAGCGTATTGTTTAGTACTTCAACTAGTAATGTACTGTCTGCTTTTTGTTGTTTAGCTGGTTGCTGCTGGATCACTAAACAAGAGGACTGCAAGTAGCTGCACGAAATTTCTGAAAGGACTTGTTGATACGTGATATGGTGTAGTGTATAGAATGAAATAAACATGTACAAATTTAAATAAACGTTTTTGTGTATCGTGAAACATCATGAGAGTTTATGTACTAGCTGGTAGTTGGTACTTCATTTCTAGTTCCTTAAGTGTGGCTCGTAGAGCATAAAAAGTGACGTTACCTTCCAACATGCGTAAAGCTTTTACGAAACGGTCGTTTTAGCAGTCTCATTTTCGTTAACGATTCTTAGGCGCGGATCTAGGGGTCGTTCATATAAGCAAACTTTGAGTTGTGTTGTCCAGATAAGCCTAAGAGGGGATGTTCTAATGTGGGATGTAATTATGCCGACTAAGCCTACCATTATGGGTTGGTAGTGGGAAACAGATCTAGTTACGCCCTTAAGTAATAGCACATTGGCAAAGGGAGAACTGGAGGCTCAACGGAGCACTTTTGCGTAGGACGTTAAGCATATGTTTCTACCGCGTTTGAAGTGTGATGCGAGTAAACTAAAACTAGGTGTGCTACTAATCAGGGACTAATCCGTCATTCGGGAATTCTGGCAGGAATTGGTCTGAACCTTTTACGTGTGATATCCGGTTACTTATCAATGGACAGCAGCCATTCTTGTATATGGATGTGACGCATTTAAAGTGAGAGATCTTGGGGGTGTATGCTATCTATTTCTCGGGTTAGAATGTACTGAGTAATACTAATGTTAGGTGTAGTGTTTAAGAGGGCAGTCGACGACGTTATGAGACTTCAGAAATCTGGGATATGTGTACGACGAGCCACGCCTTCATCAACGGGCAGGACACCTAGGACGGGAATGTATTAGGCGTATTCATACCAGAAAATGACATCAATCGTTGTTTGGAATCACCTGACGCTACGGATTATCTTGCCTGGGGCCTCACTATTTTAAGAATCAATGAGTGGAGACCGTTGGTGATACAGCTGCAAAGTATGCTAAGTGGTGCAGACGAGCCGATTACTTGTGGTCTTCCAGATTCTGAAATCCCTCAACCATTATGAAATTTTGTCACTTCCTCCTATGTAATCTCGTATACTTTAACTTCATGGTGGGTATTTCCTTCATCTGCCTTTTTTGACTTTATGGAGAGTAGAAACTTGAACTAGTTCACGTTAAATGCGAAGCTTGTCAGTCTAGAGGTGTTGACTGATAAATGCTAACGATTGCCGGTTTTTAGCATGACAGGCGAGTAGTAAAGCTAACGACAGCAATACCGGATTGTTAACAAGCGTTTACAGGATGAGCTGGATAAGTTGTGCCTAAATAAATCCTCAGCCAGTTAAGAAATTATGCTTGGGACCAATTTTCTAGAAATGCTGAAAAGTGGGTTTTTACAATTCAGGGTAAGTAAGCACGACAGGGAAGGTGCACACAGATTCTGTTTAACAGAATTCTAACTTATGAAGTACGAATAGCGGCTTCATAGACCACCGACTTACATCTGAAGCATAAGCTGTACGCAATTAGAGGAAAGTACCTTGTATTATGTTTGCACTACACCCAGTCCTTCCAGATAGGTTTTTGAAGATACCTTTTAAAAATAAGGTGTTTGGGAATTCTTAAACACTAAATGAGAAGCTTTACTTGAATTTTTGTAAGATATTTTCCGTGGTGCACTCTTATCCAGTGAATTGAGCTCTATAAATTGCTGCATTAGACTAATTGGAGTGAATGTGTCAGTGCGCAAGCAGGTCAAGTTGATGATGCGAAGTAATCATCACCACACTGGTATAAAAAATAACCAAGGTCTATGAATATCATACGGGATATCTGGATTGCATAAGATAAGGTTAACAAACGACCAAGTTTATGCTAGGCATACGTTATGGAAAGATAAGTTTCGTTAGGAAAACATTTTGATTATTGTGTTAGCGACAAAATTCTCCTTAGTACAAATGGTAGTTACAAAGTTGTTCCGCTTGGGCAACTATTGCTTCACTATGTCGCTATTTCAGTATAACTTGAGATTAGCATTTGAATATGCAACTAATTATCCTCAACACTCAAGTTTTAACCAATGTTCATTGATTGGGATTCCACTTCGCTTACTTCAATGTGGGCAACTGGGAAATAAGATTAGCACTACATAATAAGTACTTCAGCCTGGAACATGAAAAGTCTGCTTCAAGTAACTAAGTTTTAACAAGTCCATTTACTTCCAACTCAGCGGTAGTTGGTGACCTCGAAATCAATTAAGCGAACCCGACAGTTATTAAATAGCTTCACTGTGCAGAAAAAAGTGCTTCTATTTTTAAGTAAATTTATTTGTAAATGAATACCTGTAGAAATTTTGTGTATTACAATGTTTACAGCTAGCATGTACATATACTAGTAAAAATATAAAAAAACAAGATTAGTGAACATTGTTGTTACACTAACTACGTATAGTTAGAGATAGTAAAGTTAACGTCTTCTCATTCTTCGTTCAATTTATCTAACGCGCCGTATAGATCTAGTGTTAAATCCTTTGGATCTTCGAGGCCTATGGACAGACGAACCATGTTCTCAGTGATTTTATTAGCCATACGAATTTCCTCGGGGACTGAAGCATGCGTCATAATGGATCTGTTTACCAGAAAATAAACAAACTAAGCTATTATGGGTCTTGTCTGCATTATTAATTAAACATCAACTCTGTTATATGGGTACTACTAAAGTTAAAGCGAGCCACTGTCAAACTATATGAAAGAAGTTATTGTAGTGAAATTGTTTTTTAAAGTGAATTTAATGCGGTATATATAATTTATGCAGAAATATTATACACAATTACTGAAGCTGTTAGTTAAATCGTTAGCATATAGTGATAGTCTGTGAGTATTACACATTTATGTCAAATACTTCTGATATGAATAAGGAAAAAGGGAACAATGCAGAGTCGTGGGATTAGGGGATATGTAACAGTAAACGACAAATAAATCGGAAACAAGTTTATGATCTACACTTTGTTTCATACAAATTCCTGCTGAAGACGATGAGGATAAAGTGAAAACGATTTATAAGCCAATTAAGAAAATATGTCAATGCAAAACAGAGAGTTATTGTGAACTTGAATATATTGGAAAAGCTATGGGGAGATTAGGTCAACTAAGTGTGGCGCATTTTGTCAGACGAAAGAGATAATCTGCTAAATGGTTACAAAATGAGCGGTTTAAACAGTAACTTTCATTTCAAAAAATATTCTCATTTCGGAATCGCTTTATTATTATTATTTCAATCCCAGTTGCTGTTTAGTCGTCGATCGGATCAAAAGAACGTTGTGAAATTTAACTCAGAATTCATGAGAATAACCAGTTATTTTTGTTGCATTAACCTCCTCATACTGCATTATCGAAATACCTGGTGAATGAACTCGAATATTTTTACCTTTAGCTACTTCCAGCCTAGAAATTTATTCTACATTAAGACGCATATTTTTCCGTTAAACCTTTTTTAGGAATACAACATTTGACTGACTAACTCAGTTCCAAAATAGAACTTAACACAGAAATGCAGCAGTTTAAGTTGCCACACTCCATATAGTACACAAATGTAGAAGAAAGAAAGAAAAGAAGACCCAAAGGAACTATAATAAGCAAAAGTGTGCAGGTGAAAGAATAGTGACGTAGAAAAATATGACGGTCTAGTAGATATGGGAGACGATAAAAAGTAAATGCATCTACACCAGTGAGAACGGTGTTGAGCCATATCAAAAGTAGCACCTTGAAAACCTCAATCAGGCAATCTACACTTCTCTATGTGTTGCAAAAACCAACCATCGAGGACTTCATCGACTGATGCCAGGTTTTGGTTTAGGCATCATAAACTGTTATCCAACTCAATCATATGTCAGTTTACATTGCTTGTCGAGCACAGCGATGGTTCAACATGCGCAATATGTATCCTAGCCATCTCAACTGATATGGCTTCACGAGCTCATCGATTGACTTACTCACCTTAACTAACACTGTATACCCAACTTCAATATTATACCGCTTAACACAGGAGATAGATAGCTGAAGGCAGCTAACCTTTTTCATACCTTCCACTTTCAATGGCCATGTCTCATAACCATAAAGTAGGACTGAGTGAACTCCTGCGTCGTCCTCTTATTGAAAGCCGGATATCACGTCTATGCTAGAGATGGAGTTGGTAAATGCCAGACAAGCTTTTGTATTCGTGCTGAGATTTCGTCAACAACCAGTCCATTACAGCTGATGCAACTTCTCAGATAAGTGAAGTGGTGAACATAATCTAACACTTCACTTCTTTTCTTTAAGCAACGAGTCGGTGTAGTCCTGTCCTGCAGCATCCTCTTACATTTGACAGGAAGCGAATTGCACACAAAAGTTCGAAGATTGCTGCTCAAAGTATTCAGAAAACTCTAAATTTTGTCGGCATCTTCACCTAGGACGACAACATCATTCGCATACTCTAAGTTCACAAGGCCGATCCCTGGTGACAAGTCGATCCCTAAGTCACTAAAGTTGATTAGCTTCAATTCTCTACGATGAAATTAAAGCAAAATTGGGACAGTAGACATCCCCAACCGACACCACTGGTTGTTACTACTTAAGATAACAGCTCTCAGTAAGCTCTTACATGGCAACATGAGTTCGAGTAGGGTGTCTTGCCTAGTGCGATGAACTTTCTAGGTATTCCCTTCATTGCCAAACACTGCCATAGCACCTCTTGGTTGACGGAGTCGAATGACATCCTCAGGTCAGGAAATATGACAAGTGTTGTACGCCAGTAAGTATGCTTATGTCAATACACTTTCTTCCTGGTATAAAGTTTGCCCTGTTTTCTCCCCCGAGCACCACCTAGTCTGCACATAATTACTAAATCTAGAACTTTAGATACTATATTAGTCAAGACTATACCCTTATAACCGTCACAAGAAGACTTGTCTTCTTTCTAATAAACTGGAATAGTCAAAGATTTACATCACTCTAGGGGAAATATTTCTGATCGCTAGACATTGAACACCTCTGGAGTAATTTCACCAGGTAGTGCTGCTTTGCGTCGCTTCAGATTAGAGGTAGCCTTTGTAACCTCAATTTTAGTTGTAGGGTAGATGTCGATATCCCAATCAGTTAGGTGCTGGATGCTGGGCAAGTTGAGGGTGACTGTAGGTTAGTTAAACTTTTCCTCAAAATATCCTCTCAAACGTTCCAGACTTCTGTCATGAGAGCTAATTAATTCCCCGTTTTTCTCGGATATTGTCTCGCTAATCGTTTGTCTTTTACAACCTGTTTCCGTAATCTGATGTTACCTACCACCGAAGCCTTTTCTATCTCTTTCGCTTTTGTCACCCACCACTATTTGCGGTCGTTGAGAAGACTTTTGACCGAATTGCTTTTCAGCAACTTTCACTTCTCATAATGTTCGGAACAAGCTGGAATCGTTCTTCTTGCGTCAGTCATTTTGGATGAAGCAACAGAAATCCACTGGCGTTCACTATCTTTTGGTTTTGGGTTGCTTCACTGCTGCTTCTATGGCTGAATGGATATTATTCCAGGCTTCTTCAGGATGAGTCTTGGTCCCAATCTCAGAGACGCGTTTACCTATTTCTTTCTTGAATAAGGACTTAGGAAACGGGGCGTAATGGCTTCATTGCTGTCTGTTTTACATGTCCGTTCAATCTTAGACATATACATGCACGGACTAGGGTATGATTGGAGTCCACGCAAATGTTCCAGAAGGACTAAATCCATATAGTACAATGTAGATTTTAGTGAAACATCACCATGTTATATGCATGAAAAAGTCAGACTGTAATAAAATGATATTTACGAAACTTAACCGATATGAATGGAAAAATCTGAAGTAAGCGGAGTATAGCATTCATACACATTTCTGTGAGGAAACTTACGGAATTTCAATCAAACTTTCATAGCCACCCAAGCTTTCAGCCAGTGTAAAAATCTAAAATAAAAGTGGGAACGAAAAAAGTATATATGTATAAAGTGAAAAAAGACGTTGCGTGGTGAATTGAATTCACCTCATTTAGTATGCTCCAAATCTCTTAAATATATTCAAAGTTTGAAATTCGTGTAGAAGTTGAAAGTTTAAGATGGCTCATATTATTATAGCCAGACAGGAGAAGCTATAAGAAATCCTCTTGGTTAAATACTTGCAGACGTTTCTAACTCACTTGAAGAATACCAAGAAATGTGATGCAATAAAATAAACAGACTGTATTTAAGATATGTGAATGACTTTAGAGTGAAAACCAAGCGATGAATTTACTTAAAGTATACCGATTAGTTCAGCCATATCTTGAATTCATATGTGAAAACGAGATGTTGAATGGAGTAAATTTATCAAACGTCAATATTACAAGGAATGAAGATGACTCCATCTCACGTGAGACGCAACAGATTTCGTCTCCATTTCACAAAAACGAAGTCTCGTTGAGACTTTGTATTTACAAGTAAGTAGATTATGCTGTAAAGAGCTAATCTGAATGGAATAGGGGCAATTCACAAAGCATTGATGGACAAAGGGAATTATTATTTTTTAAATAAATACTTCGAACTAAAAAACACACGAAAGAATCGTCGAAGCAACAGCACTAGACAACCATTTCATGATGATGATGAACAGAGTTCACAAAATGGTCGCCAGATAAATGCATGTATCACGCCAACCTATTCTCCTACGAAACAAACAGTAGTTTACAACACATAAAACCTACCAAGCAGAAGAAAATCAAGATAAGACAAACCATCGTGTTGACTTCAGTTGCATGTATTTAATAATCTCTACTTACATTAGAATGTAGGCTTGAAGTAGAGAGAGGATAAGTATCTTTGAAAGTGTGCTGAAAAGTTTGTCATTAAGAGGTGCAAAACCATCTACCAGTGCTATATATAAATATATTATCGATACAGGTCATATTATCTATTCAAACACAGTTTCCCATGTAGCGAAGAGAGAATGTAACAACAGACTGATACATTATGAATAAGGCATTAAGAAGACAGATTTCGCGAGATGATATCATTTCGTAGTTTCTTTACAACCGCTTTACAACTAACATGGTTAACAATAATAAAATAAAGTTCATGACAATTACTCAGTTAAATAAAAAACACAAAAGTACACACTAATGATCAATCATATTTAGATAGGTCATGTAGTCCAGGGTAGGCGAAGATTGAAGTCTATTGATTTTTGTACACACAGTTTAGGCTGTATGTGATTAATCCAAAGTGCTTCCATCACCTTCAATAACCTTGAATTATAGTTATGTGAAATAATTGTGAAACAGTCATTAATATTGATTTTGTGACCTGACATTAATAAGTGTTTTGCAATGGATGATGCTGGATTTCTATTCAGATTAAGCGCGTTGGGATTTTCTATATGTTTTAGTAACCATTTTGGAACATGTTCCTTTCGACGACATTGGAACACTCTGTTGGTTCTACCTATATAGGTGTCACCGCAGCTGCAGGTGAACTTGTAGATACAGTTGGAAGTAGAGTCCACAGAATTTCGTCCTTTAATCGTAGGTACAGGGAGAGAAAATGTTCGAGATGTGACGGAAAGAGATGAGGCGTAGAGTGTGTGCTTGATAGTTGACAAAAGTCTCTGAGCTATCAATTGCATAATCTCGTCACCCTTGGATGGTAGGTTAATAAAGATAGCTTTCTTTGGTACAGTAGCTGTCTTTTCGAGATGTGATCTTTCTTTACTGTGACAAGTGATAAAGTTTTCCGGATAACTATTAGCTAATAAAACTGAATGTATATGTCGAAACTCATCCGTCAATGTGTCACTCGTGCATACATTATGCAGAAGCGACAGTGATCCATTAAGTGAAACCTGACTTTCGAATATAGAAAGATATTCTGGTCCACCTTGTAATGCCTTGGTAATTGGTTGTATTTGTTATTTATTATTTGTTCTAGTTTGCTATCATCCCCAAAGAGTATTCGTGTCTCTAACATTTTCCAATGTTTTTACGAGTTGATCACGGATTGATATCAGTTAGAGAAACATTTAAAACCAGGGAGTACTGGACGGCTGTTTCATTCTAGTTTTAGGAATCATCGTCAGTACGCACCCACTGGGGTTCGAACCCAGGACCTTCCGGTTACAAGGCAAGCTCGTATACCCTTACAAACCAAACTGTAGAAAATTTTCCAATGTCCATTAAATTTTATTTTTGATTCTAAGTGTTTTACCATTGTTTCACCCTCATGTTTTCTGCTATGTCTTAGTTACCATCTTATATGTCAACTTTGAATCTACAGTATGGTACGCATCATTTCCCCTGTATTAATTAATTAGGTCATGAACTATGTCATTTTTATTCCCATATATTCTGCTGATTTTATCACTGAACTCTCTCTACTATACCTATACATCTCGAGTGAAACATAGGGTTTCGAGCTTGAGCTTCGAAGAGTCGGTAGTGGTATAAGCTGGACACCCTGAAATTCTTTAAAATTATCAATAGATAGTATAGTTAGTTCTATTCATCTTAGTCGGAGTAATTGCTACCAAGCCCTTCAAACTCGATTTATTTTCAAAAGGAAGAAATTACGCAGCTCTTTTTGCCCTGGTAACTTGATATCTTTACTCTTCCTCTCATTTGATGACGTAGTCTTTGGCTTTGAATTTCTCCCCTTACGCTATGATGTAATTTTGTTTGTCTTTTGTCTCTGTGATTTGAGCTGAACTCACCACATAGCTACTGCAACTTATCATCCTATCCATCTTTTGCCTTCATTGCACAACTCTAGCTGCATTGTATCCAAAAATTTCTTATTTTTAAATGTAGTTTTTTTCAGACTTGAACCTTCTGTATAGAAGTTATGTAAGTGTAATTTCTGAGCACTATTTATTGATTTTAGAATGTCTTGTTAACTGACACCATGTCACATTTGCAATTATGTTAAAATTGCTCCCTATAATAAATTAATGTTTTTAGACTGTAGGTGAGTGATGAGAAGCCGACGGAATAAATGATGGCACCATCCTATTCTGCACAGAATGCTCGATTTTTGCTTTATTCAAAGAGTATTCACTTTGATAACTTATTCGTCAAGTTCTACAGGTATATGTGTATGATAATTAGAGGATAATTTTTATTGATAGCAACAGTATTTTTTCTACAATAATGTTCCATTGTAATAGTTTATCATAATATTCTTATTTTGAGTGAAAATGATTAAGGTAAGCTCACGACAATAGTCTAATTCATTGGGGATACATTCAAACATTAATTTCTCATACGAAGTAGAATCCGAAAGAGAAGATAATCCTATATTAGGATTTCACTCATACAAAAAAATCATATAGATATCTAATAAAAATGCACTATACGAAAAAAGTCGAAAAGAAATATTCCGTCACTCTAAATGTGTGGGCAGGTGAAACAGTGACCAATATGCTAACAAAATTACAGCTCATATTTTCTGTAAACCCGGTTGTGGTTTTGAAAGTGAAAGACAAAGTGCCTAGTCTAGCCATCTTTCCGTGTATCTATCTACCCAGCCGCTTTTGTGGGGGCGCATTAATATTAGTCTTGGTTTTTCGTGCTTAGAAACACCAATCAGTACGTCTAAATCAAGGTGTAATAGAAACCATTAACAGTAACAGTATTAGCACAACTATTGCAAATGCACCGTAATGCAAGTACAAAACAATTTTTTCTGTCATCTGTCGTGTACCGAATAAACTGTTTAAAACAGTTGGAGAGTTGAGTATAAGAGAAACAATTTCAAGCAATTATTGCTACCTTGGCTTGTTATGGAATCTGTAAATTCATAAACACTGTTTTACATAGTACCTTTTAGGCTATTGTACAAACAAACCTATTTTCTTAATTTACCCTTAGTTATTTACTGATACAAGCGTAACTTTCTACCAGATTTTCTGTCCCTGTTTTCGATATTATCATTCATCCATAAGAAGATAGTATTCGGTAGAAATGGAATTCTATATGAACATTTATTACTATGTATTCGCGGTTATTGATGATTTAAAGCAATTAGTTTCCTTTATGAATTTCGAAAACACAGTAAGAAGACGCAGTTTATCTGAAACGTGTAACGTATTTGTGCAGCTCATTTCGGACATTCTGATCACTCACGTACTTGTCACACACAGTTATATAGAAGGCAAGAAGTCATGAATCATTAAAATACGTGTCAGAATGTGTACAGGTCGAGATCACAAATAATAGGTAGGGAGATGACGAAAACGTGTGGATAAGAAAGGAAGGAAAAAGAAGCCTCGGTCATAAAATGACTTAAACCTGTCTTACGTGTCCAAAAGTTACGCTATTAATTATAATAAAGGTTTTTTTGTATTTCCTAATGAATGAAAAACAAAACAATATTGTTATTACTTTAAACCTGCCTTGGTAATTCAATTTAGAGCCAAGGTTCAATTTACTTCATAATATTTTCAACCCTTTTTTCGTTTTTTCTTTCTTTCTTACCCAAACCTTTGCGTCATCTCCCTACCCATTATTTGTGACTTTGGCCTATACCCAATCTGACCTGTATTGTAATGGTTTATGATTTCTTGCCTTCTATATAAATGTGTATGACAAGTACGCGTGTGATGAGAATGTCCAAGAAGAGTTGCAAAAATACATTACACGTCTCAGATAAACTACTTCTTCTTATTGATGATTATATATTTTCTGCTTCCGCATCGTGATTAGTAGCTCACTGGCTTAAACATTCAAGTTCAGTTTGCCTATGCAGAGATCAAATCTGGGTGCGCTTGCTTCAGAATACATGGTATTATCAGCCCCGATACATTAATTATGACTCAAAACAATAGAAATATGAGTAGTAGATAAATGATCTCTCTGTAAATAAATTCCATACAGGATGTTCTACTGATGTATAAACCCCAATATTTAGATCTGTAATGACATTTTCTTATATATCACATTAATAAAAAAAAAGACATAAGAGAATTTTCACAGTAATATTTGTGCAAAAACCATATAGGAAATGTAATCCATTATAAGCAATATGAATAGTGAAATTACCTTTAAATGTTCAAGGAACACTTTAGTCTGTTCACCTGTACATCGTAGATACACAGTTATCATACCACTAAAACCATGCATTTGTTTAGCAACAATATCTTGTTGAGGGAATGATTTCAAACCTTAAATGTTAGAAGAAAATTGCTGAAAATCAATATAAAATATATTATTATTATACTATTTATTATTGTTTCTTTTAACTCCTAGAGGAACATAAGGCTTCAGCCGCGCGTCTCCATTGCGCTCGGTTCTCTGCCAGCGTTTTCACTTGGCTCCAAGTCTGCCCACATGCTTTTATCTCCTCTTCACATGACCTCCTCAAAGTCACCCTTGCACTGACGACCAACTCGCCGATTCCCTTTCGAGTTCCACTCGAGCGATGGCCTGGCATGTGATGTCACTTGATGGTTTCCTCAGAGTTTGGCCAATCCACCTCCATTTCTTCCTGCTTATTTGTTGCACAATCGGTTTCTGGTTGGTTTGCTCCCAGAGATCCCTGTTGCTGATCTTTTCTGGCTATCTGATCTTGAGTTTTGAGCGAAGACAGCAGTTGATGAAGATAGTTAACCAACGACAAGCATCAGTCACCGTCAACAGGAGAAATTTGAAAGAGGCCTTCTTTCACTTATTTGGGTAGCATCGTTTCAACTACAGGCGGTGGCACGGATGAAGATATCAAAGAAGCAAGAGAAATATTTATTACTCTGAAATCAGTGTGGAAATCCACTGCAGTTGCAGTCATTAATGAGTATAAAGAACAATTTGTGTTGCGAAATCCTAATTTTAAAATTAGTCAAGTCAGTCCTTCTATATGGCGTGTCACCAAGAGCATTTCCAACAGACTTCAGTCTTTTGTAAACAACTTCCTTAGCTGTCTCAATACTTAAGACCAGATTGTCAATCAGAAAGGATAAGCAACAAGATCGTGCTGCCCGACAAACAGTCTGAAGTAAATGGAGATGGATTGAACATACACGCTGAGGAGGCTGTTGAGTAACATCACGCACCTGGCTGTTATTCGAGTGTAACCCTAATGGGAAATGAAAATTTCATACTTGAAATTATTGATAAGCTGTTATCAATATTCTTATTATTTCAATTAATTATCATCATTACTAATGTGGTGAGAGCTGTCTACTAGCCAATTGGTTGACAGTAATTGAGGTCAATGTTTATGTATCAAATATTAGTCATGTTGTGGTGAGAGATGGTTGCTAGCCAAATTGGTTGACAGTAATTGAGGTCAAGGTCAAGATGGACAGGCGGATACAGTTAACATATAGATGAACCGACACAGCCACAAGAGATGCAAGGTTAACTTTGTGTGAGAAGCAACCAATCAACAGACTGTATTTTCTACTAACATTAACCTACAATAATGTACATCAAAATCTATAAATACGTGTTGATTTTCCGTAATAAACGTTCTGTTACCTGGCCCTTGTCTTCTGTTGTTACACTAATATTATTGTTATTATGACCAACATAACAGTTTGTAATGGGCATACGCTGAGGAGACCGTCGAGTGGTATCTCGGGCCAGAGAGCCCTCTACTGGAACCCGAATGGGAAATGACGAGTTAAGCATGGGTTCGAGGGTGACTTGAAGAAGACCAAATGAATAAGAAATTAAAGCTTATGAGCAGTCATGGAACCAGCTAAAAAAGGACTGCAGGGAATAGAGTGAAATGGAGAGATGCTGTTGAAGCTCTATGCTCTACTCGAAACCCAAGGAAATAATAATGATATTTTATGCGAAAAGAACATCAGATGCAATAGTGTATCATATTGGTGAGAATTCCACATTGCAATTAACAGTGTTCTCTGAGCTGGTTGGTTTAGTTGCGGAGCTTTCGTCGTCCTTCTGGACAACATCTTCAGCGCCATATTTAGCACAAAGTGAAATGATTTAAATTTCTTCATGGGTGATGTAATTGCGTCTCCTGGTGACTATCTTTACATATATATTGACCATTTTCTATTGACTTGGATTTTAAACTTTTTGGTCACCTGATTTACTTTTTATTAGTTGGTATATTTCATCTGTATGAACGAAAAGTGCCAGAGAATTCCTAGAAGCCTGGTACTCAAGGGAAAATGCAATTAACAAACAGACGACGAAAGCTTCGCAACTAAACCAACCAGCTCAGAGAACACTGTTAATTGCAAATCATCCACCTGAGCTACAAATCTTCTCTATTATTTCAATTCCACATTGCATCAAAAGTATTTGAAATAAAAGGATTATTATTATTATTCAAATATGTGTCAACAAATTATAGGAGAGTCATTTTTCTCTTCAAAATGAATTTCTCAGACAATTAAAATGACTGACTAATTGGTTTTCACACAGAACTTTGCACATGTGTGCAGAAGTTCGAGTTGCCACACTCTACGTAGCACAAAAAGCAAGAGAAGAAAGTAAGGGGAGGTTAAAAAGGTAGATAATAAACAGAAGTGCGAGGCAGGAAGAACAGTAATATGGAAGAACGTTAGAGCCTTATTGGATATTACAAATCACAAAGAGTGAATACATCTGCGCTAATGAGCACAATTTTGAGCCATTTCAACAATTATCCCCAGACATTGGTTTTTATCATCCCGAGGACAACAACCAGGAAATCTATACCTCCCTGCGTAACTGGCTTAAACTAATTGTTGTGGATTTCATTGACATGACCTGTTTTCATTTGACCACCACTAGCTCTTATCCAACGTAATCCATGCTATGTCAGCTAACATCGCCCATCGAGGAAGGCGATGACTAGGCATACGTAACATATGCCATAACCATCTCAATCAATATAACTTCACAACCTGGTCGATTGATTTCCCTTCCTTAACTAGCACTCGGTGCCTAACGTCAATATTGTACACCCTATTATACCACCTAACATGGGAGACAGAACGCAGGCAACTAAAATAAATGCGGGTGGAAAAACTGTTTATGCTTAATATTAAGATAAGACGTAGACTTAATGAAGTAAACGTTCCATTTCGTGAAAGTAGCTTATTAATATATGGCACTTGTCTAAACATGCAAACGATAAGAGTAATCCAAGTTATTAAAACAATCAATCCTAATGCAAACCAACAACCAATCATAACCAGAGTTGTCAAGCGAGACAATTATATCATTCTTAGAGAGTTCAGATAAGTTCATTTCATGCTGAAGTTTGCGCTGAAGATGTGGTCTAGTAAGACAACGAAGGCTTTATAATTAAACCACCCAATTCAGAGAACAAAACTATATCGAAAATGAAAACGACTGATAAGTATATAGCCAGGTAATTCAATTCAAATAGACAGGCTAAAATTTATTTCTCAATCTATTTGGCAGTAGTACAGAAGGCGTAGCAAGTGTCAGCGTTAAGATGAGAACTTAAAGCTGTCAAATACCTTTTTTTAAATAACTGGTATATAAAGTGATATAAAACGTGAAGATTTTCAAGGACTTATTTAGCTTGAGATAATTTCTTGTCAAGACAAAGGAAATGACACGGAAAGCTCTGATTATCAAAGAGGCATTAGTGAATACTTTGTTTAGGTATTGTAACGACAGAAGGCAAGGGTCAGGCAACAGATCATTTATTAAGGAAATCAACGCATATTTATATATTTTCATGTACATGACTATGGATATTTAAGCAAACAAACACAGTCTTCCGATTGGTTGTTTCTCACTTAAAGTTAATCTTCCATCTCTTTGTGACTGTTTCTTGAATGTCAAATCCTCTATATGTTAACTGCATCCGCCTACGCAAAGTCTGCTGTGGTCGGTTTCGAATCAACCTTTGTTCACATTTTCTCACGACAAATCTTGGGAACGTAAATATTGACGTAAATTACTGTCTACCAATTTGGCTAGTAGACAGGTCTCACCACAGTATGACACGATAGAATACATGATCGTCCGATTTTCACTGGAACATTTATAAGTATTTTATGGTGCAATTAATACATATGGAAAACGACTAGTCATAGATTCTGTTATCTCTTTTAAAAAACAGCATATATTTTCACTGGATGTTAAAACAATGTCACACGTACCTGGGTGTAGAACTTTTTCCACCATTGGATGTTTCTCAAGCATCATAGCCACTATAAGTCCATTTCGCATATGAGCTTTCATTCGTAATGGAAGTGTCCGTAATCCTCTGAGACACAACATACAATCGAATGGTGATGGAACAGCTCCTACAGCCATTTGTATAAATCTGAATTGATTGTGTAATTCAGAACGATTGCGTGTTACTAATGCACCCATAACTACATCAGAATGTCCTGTTAACGAGAAGGGGAAAGTGAAATTTATCGAGTACAATGTATTTACCTGCATAACTTTTAATTCACATAGAAAAAACAGTCAATTCAAGTGCTACACAGTTAATGTCAAGATGCCACAAAGGTTTCTTGAGAAATCAATAGCATACACATTAGGAAATACGTGTATATAAAAACTGTATTCACCTATCCTATATACAAATATCGTAAAAATCATTTGCATTTATATGCACTTGACAATCAGCCATGTTTATTGCTCGAAAAGTGATATATATATATGCATCTGACTGGAAGATGAAGGTGGGTGGTGACCAAGAAAGCTTTGTACGTTTATGGAAATGTCTGGATAATTATCACTTCCCGGCCGCCCACACTGTGGAAGTTGAAATGCCTGACGAAGAAGGAGCGATAGTGTTGCGTAACTGCAGAGCTGAAGGATAGTGGCCTGAAGCCTGTCACTCATGGCCTATCTGAATTAGTTTTTGGAGTTGTGTCCACATTCAGATCTTACCACCGGTAAGTCGTGATGCACAATTTCCGGGTTTGACCTTTTCTAACTCTCCTCCTTAGAGGGGCGAGGTGGCATATCTTGCTCGCTGGTCATCTAAGGGGAATATCTCACAGCTGTTACATCCCTACTTACCAGCAGTATAACTTTGCCTCCAGACTTCTAACAGTGTAAACGATTTACACTATTATGGTAACTGCTTTTAGCCTGGCCACTATCCAAACAACCTGCCCTGTATAGTAGGACCAGTAGGAACATTAGCTCCAGTTAGTGTATCTCGTTAGGTAATTGCGATATGTAAGCCCGACTACCACGTCAAAGTAACAGAAATCGGTCAGGTCAGGTGAATCTACTGTTAGTGACCAGCAAAAAGCCACCACTGCAATGCATTACTTCATCAAACTTGACAGAAGTGGAAACCCAGAAGTCTTTTGTACTATCTACATTTTAATGAGCATTAGAAATAAAGCTACGTAGTTTCTTCATATCGCAGATAATCACGATAAGTTGTCAAGCAATTGTCAAGACATATTTCTTCACGAATAATTTTTAAATCAAGTTAATGTCTAGAATGATAATAAAAACTCCATGATGCAGTCATACCTCTGGGTCTGCGTAAGCCAATATCAAACTTACCCTTAAAGCTCATTACAAGTTGTAGTTACATTATCTCACTAATTTTATAAGACTCATAAATATGCAGCTTACCGTTCATATATTTTGTGAGGGAATGTAGGACAACATCTGCTCCATGATCAAGTGGACGCTGTAAAAAGAAAGTGTTAAGTTTAATCTATAGAATTTTATTGGTGAAATGCAATGACACAACAGTGCGATTGTTTGTCCTGTCTATGTAGGAGTGATGAATACATTTAATATGAACACAAAACAAATTTTCTGAAGTCTTAATCAGTAGCTGCGCTTATTTTTTATGAAATCTTTTGTGCTGAACATATGATGACAAAGCTAACAGTTTATTGGTGTAACAAATTAACAACGTCAACACACTTAATACATTTGTAGACAGATTATGATCAAGGTTGATCACGAACTGACTTCAGTAAGAGGATCACTGAAAACCGGAGAGTACTGCAAAGTTGTTTCGTTCGTATTTGGGATTCATCAGCAGTGCACAGTATGACTCCATCCGGGACCAAATCTAGGACCCCCAGGTTACAAGGCGTGCTTATATACCACTCACCCACTGGGATAGAATGCAATGGCCCATCAGTTGTAGCTTCTGCCAATTCGTGAATATATAGCACGATAACCAACCAATGTTATCAGCGAGTATTTGTCATCACACCCAACTGGATGGACCCCGCTGGTCAAGATCATAATCATTGATATAAGTATAAAACTTGGGCACTGTGGTAGAGTGTAACTCCATTATGGATAAGATTTTATTTTGATAAGTCACACAGTGTTACACAGTAATATTAACTGATGACGTTTCGAGCACAAACTATTGCCACTCATAATCATATCAAGTCACTCACTCACACAACTTTTTGCTTCATTTATATACATGTTTGGAATTGACTAGATATTTGAATAAAAATTAATATGAGATAATGTACATTCAGAAATAATAATAATACGAGTGTTATTGATCAACTACAATCAGATGGGAAATAAGACGGGTGTTTTTATAGTCATAATAAGTTACTCGTTAAAATGTTGTGATGTGCTTGAATTGAAATAGAATTTTGAGATTACTTATTTTCCTCTTCTGATTTGACTGGCGGTAATAATATCTTCCGTATTTCTGGTATTTGCATTGAGTTATTTCTGTTGCATGTGTTAGGTGTAGACTCAATGAACCAGGATTCAGTAATCAACCTCTCTCTCCACCTACATAGATCTTAACCTTCTCCCACCCTATTGTGTGGTTGTGTGTTAATGCATGCAGTGCTATTGCTGAGCTTTTTTCTAAATTACTCATCTCGGAGTCAAGTTGAACTATACCTATCAGCTACAGAATATGCTACTGGTAATTATTTTTCAGAGACCGACAATGTCTAACGTTTGCATGAATTAGTAGATGCTGAGGTCTTATATACTGTGTCAGAAAAACAAGTTATAGTTATTCATCAGATGACTTAAGAGATACTTATGATGTAATCGTTTTAAAAACTGAGAACAGTACCACCAGAGATGACTCAGTTATCCTAAAGACAAATGAGTAATTTTAAACACAAGTTAACTACCACAAATATTCATTCAAACGAGATAACGTAGATAAAAGATAAAAATAGGCTTACAGTATACGCTAAACCGCATTTTTGCGTAAACATCCAAAGAACTATATGTGTATGACACGCAATCGAATATAAACAGTTTACATTAAAAATTTCACTGTCATTTATAACAACAAAACAAACGTGACCTCCAGTGAATTAAATTTCACAACTGACTGAAAATTCGAATCTATAATTCATACACCCACACACACGTACATTATAAAAACGACATTAAGCATTCAGTATAGAGAAACTATTTCCTACATTTTGACAAGTAAATCTAGAACGAGCAAGTCCTAATAAACAAAAATCGACCACTTTCTCAATAATAATACTGATAACACATTGACCTACAATAAACATTTACTTTAATTTTTTCAATAAAGCCCGCTGAATGGTCTTTATTCACTGATAATCAGCCAAGAAAATATAGTATACACTAAAACAGGAGATCCAAACATAGAGTTGTTATTGTTGACCGAAGTAACATTATAAAGGCTATAGACAAACTGACACAGTGATGAGCAAAACACAGGAATATATCTATACGAGTGATTGATATTAGAAAACTAAACTGGCCTTAGTTGTCAAAAGTACATCTTCCATTTACAATAAATCAAATGAATTATTGTGGATAAAACTGACAGAATCTCATTTCGTAGTCGAATACGTCTTCAAATACATAACCAACAATTACTAACAAAGAGCAATGTAAACAAAAGGCAATAGGAATACAAATAATTCGAATATTAAGTCATACAAAGCAGGAAAATGCAACAGAGAAGAGAATTTCCTTTTCCATGAATTCTTTTCAGAAGCTGTACAGTTCGTATTTATATTCTATGCAGAATTCATAAGACTAATGAAATGCCGGTAACTATGTTCTAGAAGTGGTTTACGTGATTCGAGTTATAATCTGGAAGATGAAGAATTGCAAGTTGGTATTATGTAACAGGTGTAAGAATGATCCACTCAACCTTAATGAACACAATTTTTCTTGATCTCTGTGTCCAAAAACAATGAGCACATTAACTCACCTTACCATGGCCAGAGTAACATCCCCATCTTAATTTTGTTTTTATTTAGTCAATTTTATTAAACATCAATGTTGTTAATAGTACTGATTTATTCACTATAATGGACATACAACTGTAGGGCCTGATGATGAACTTATCGAAAAGAGTATTCTTTGTTCAGTATCCATTCATTTGAAAATTTGATTTTTCCCTCCTTTTATTAGTAACGTTTCATTTCTCATATAGATGTCGTTTAAATGCTTCACCGTTTTTACTACTCATATGTCCATTTCTGTATGTTGAAGTTGAGCGGGTTATTCTCACATCTACTCTGTAACAGCAACACGCATTTCTTCATCTTCATCTGTGTGTTCCCCTCTAGATTATGACTCGAATCACGTAAACCACTTTCTAGAACATAGTTATCGGTAATTTCATTAGTCCTGTGAATTCTTCATCGAATATAAATATTATTACATAGCTTTTGGAAATGATCCATGGGAAAGAAAATTTCCTTCGCTGTTACATCTTTTTTCCTTCATATGCTTTAATCTGAGGAGACGAATATTATTAGCACTCCGTAATATGCTCCATTATAAATAATACTAAACACAAAATATTCTTCGCTTACTTGAAAATAAGAGCTCATAAAGGTATTATCAACAACAACGATTATTTCTTTGTTAAAATCATGACTAATTGATGATATAGCACTTATATCGACCAGACGCATCAATGGGTTTGATGGTGTTTCAATAAGAACTAGACGCGTATTCCCCTGTAAAGCTTGACGGAATAAGTTCAAGTCGCGCATATCAACAAAAGTAGTTTTTATGTCTGACTTTGTCGCCAACTTCCGCAAGTATCGTCCATTACCTGTAAAGGTAGTGATAACAAACACATTCAGAATAAATCGTGTATATACATATCTTTCTTTATTAAAAGAGTGGTGTCTGTTTTTTAACAAGTTTGATTTACAGCTTTTCATAATGAGGTGTTATACTAGTTATCAAAAGCTTTTACTAGAACTACACAACACATTCATCTGAGTTAGTTCAAAATTGGCTATCCCAAAATGGAGATGTACCGTACCTGGTATTGCAAAGGAACGTATTGAATGTTTTCACGTGCTATTCATCTTTGAAATGCATTATGCATGAAAATTTAGTATAAAGAACTAGAGGATTAGTGAGGAATATTTCACCTCACAGTTAGTGTGGAAATGAAACTGTACAATTGACTGACTTAAACTACAATATCCTTAAGTAATAACAAATTTCGCTCCTCGATTGCGTGAATAAGTGGAGATGTGGCTAGTTGGCCTAAGTGTTTAACTCTCAGTAAGTAACACTCGGCCTCGAATTTCACTCTGTCTGCGTCAGTCTGGGCAACTAGATAGCATCATCGGTTGTCATATGTAATAAGTATGGTTTATAGCAACGTACACGAAAAATTTCTGTATTAGATTACTCCATTCGAACTAGTACACAAATCCAAAAAAACCCAACCAATCATGTGTATCCAGTATTTTATGGAATACTTTTAGTTACTTCATAATCATTATACATAAATTTGATGCCTTTACTAACAAAAGTTAAGAGATAATACGTATTCATAAAGTTCCACTTATATAACTGACTTCATCCCATTTTTAGAGAGTGCAGCATTTTTACACAGAAATTTATTTTACACAGTCAAACTACTATCATGAATAGTTTGGTGAAAGAGTTGTGCTCAGGGTGTATATGAAAACAAAATAACATATTGAATTACGCAAGAATTTCAAGTAGTTGGAAAAATAAGCATACAAACAAACTTTTGTTTGAATTTAATTGGTGGATGGTGACTAGGAATCCAGGATGTGCATTTCGTCCTATTTGGGACTCGTCATCTGGATGTACCTGCATTCGGCAGTGAGTGATGATGTTCCCACCGAGGCTCGAACACAGTGCCCATAGTTTCAAACGCCAAAGCATTATCCACTAGACCACTTGGGCCACGACAGCTACCTCTTTTGCAACGGGTCATATTAATTATTTAATTGAATTTTAGATTTTCCTGTCAATTGATTGGACCGAATTCAATTAAACTTTTGTTTGTTTGTTTGATTTGACTTAACTTTTTCTTGCATGCTTATTTTTCTAACTAATTGAAACTCTTGCGTAATTCTATATATTATTTTGTTTTCATATGCACCCTGAGCACAACTCTTTCATCAAACTATTCATGTTATTACGTAACTCTTCTTTAACAATCGTTTGTGATAACTCATCACTTCCGTTACTACCTTCTTATATCAACATCCAATTCATCTGAACCGACTAATTGTATTTTTGTTTAGCAAACAAATATCAGTCAGTATATGAAGTGGAACTTAATATATATTGTACCAAAAAGTCAAATTAAACGAATGAAAATTCAACACATAATCATACCTCCGTAAAGATCATCGAATGCAACAATATGATCTCCATGCGATAAAACTTGAACAACAGTTGATAGCGCTGCGAGACCTGAACTAAATACGGAACAATTATCACCATCCTCTAATGATGCTATGCATTTTTCGAGACATTCCCGAGAGAAATTTCCAGATCTGGAATAGTCGTACTTTAAAATGAGTCCAGTGGTCATTTAAAAAAATTATTACCTTAGCAACACCGGGAGAAAGTTGTTGGAAAGTAGTTGATAAAGTTAACGGTGGAACTACAGGACGGCCTACTTCCTGTAAGTGTATTGAATCATAACCACCGTGAGTAGCAATTGTGTCTATTTTATCGAATGGTCTTAGTGTTTCACTAATATGCTGTGAAACATCCTGGCACACACCGTCATATAGAGCTGAAAACTTTTCCATTCTGTAAAATAAAAAGATTGTTTTGGGAATACAGCTATTTAAAAAGCAACTGTAATCGAAAGGCTGTCGTAAATTAAATTAAGCGTAAATTGTCTGGCTGGGATCTGCCGGTAATGAAGAGCTGACGGTTAGAGAACCTGGAGACACACGTACTTGACTTTTGCTATCTTCGAAATTACAGACAACCTCACTGATCCTATCTCTGACACATTTGCTGCTTTTAGTATCACTAGATTTATTCATTTTCTCTTCGTACTGTTTTGAAGCTTGGCAAATTGAACTGATGTACTTCTGTACATATTCACCAGTCACTCAGTATCTGGTTGATCCTTACACAGTTCATATTTAAAATAAGTTATCGAAATGCAGAATATAACACAAAATAAACAGTCAATAAATACTATGGCTCAATCAAGGTTAGAATAGAGCACTACTGGATAACCAATGACATAGTGTAATAGAAATCAGGGCCACTAAGTGTCTGATTAGCTTGTAATTTATTGGTTATTATGAGTAGATGAATGAAACTTGTATCCATGGCAAATCGAGTGAAACAAATGTTTTCGAACTGCTGAAGCAATGATAAATATAACACGTGAGAAAGGTACCTTTCCCAAGACGAGGATACAAGAACAGCTCCGTTTCTAAAACATCGCTACAACCACAACTGAATATAAATGGCAAAACTGCATTACCTGAAAATGTTGCAACACCTTACGTCTGATTATCAAACGTATGACAGTTAAAATAAAGTCGAATGTGATACAGAATCCACCGCGCTCATCAACATATCATATGATTATTATTATGCACTTTGAGCCTTCAAGTGGGTTGGATATAAAAAGACAAATAAGATCATTCCAAAGGTTTGGGTATTATTCAAACCACAATTCCTCGGAAAGAATAGTGGTGCCTATGATGTACTAAAAAGTTGTTTGAAGATATAAATACTCTCGAAAAATCTTCCTGAAACATCAGTGCAAACTCTTTAAACGTTATAAGTCTCGCTTCCTTTTACCTCTCCGAAAATGCCGAAGTTATTGTTAAATGGGATTTTCCATATTAAATAAAGGGCTTAAGTGAGATAAACATTTTAATTTACTATTTATGATACAAAGCATACGGCCTAATCATACCATGCAGCTTACTGACGAGTACACACACAAGGAATTATAGGGGCGACCACTCACAAACGAAAAACCTGATTAATTTATAGGTGTCACAATCGTCAATGACGTGACCTTGTAAGTATACATTCAATGTCGCTCATTCAAACAGAATTCAAATTCCTTTGCAACAACTACTTCAAAACTTCTTCACACGGCGGAAAGGCTTATTGTAGCTCTATATTTTTATTTTTCTATAAAATCGAACTTGACAGTAGCTAGGAAATTACTAAAAGTTGGCTAGTTTTCTGCATGGGAATGTGTTCGGCCCAAGCGGTTTCATCTGAGACGGCAAGTATGTGAGCCTTCGTACTGCAGTATTACCTCGGTCAGCAAGGGCGTTCTTTAGCTTCTAAATAGATTTCATCTCATAAAGAGAAGCTAAATGTCTGAATGCTACACCTGGTGCGTGGTAACATAAAAGAGAACGACTGCTGGCAACATTCTGATTTACGCAAATGGATACGCTGACAAATGACATTGTCGAGGTTAGCAGCCTTAGGAAGACAAGAAAGAGAATTTATTTGACATACTGTCGGGAATATTATGAACAATGGCATTGTTAAGCTTAAGCGTGCACTGTGTGGCTCCACATGGGAAGATACTAATTAGCATTTTGGACTTAGGCAAAGCTTCTGGAGTCAACCTATGGTATTCCTGTGAGTAAGCCAATAAAAATTATTCGCTCAAGAATTGATACCAGAAGTAGTGGAGATCAAACCTGTTAGCTTCTGGAGTGGTGCTGTGGATAAAAAACTTTACTTTGAAAGAGACCCAGGCAAGCTATTTGGAATAAACAATCACCGCCAGCAACAAAGCTAGACGGATCGCTTACCCAAGCAAGCGATTGTGGTAAGACATCTTATAGTAGTGAGACTTCACTGTGAAGTTCTGAGTTTGGCCCACAAGTCCCAAAGAGGCAATTAAGTGACCTGACTAGTAGTGTTTGATCGGAATTATAATTGTCGTCCATAACGACAGAAGGATTCTGAAGGATGCCTGGGCCGCTCTCAGACTGTTAAGGCAGCGTTTCTTCAAGGAAGCTAGAGAGAGCGTTGGGGGACATTCTCAAACAAATATTATTATATGTTCAGATTGTCGAAATATAAAAATGGTTATGCTTTTAATTCCAGGTTTTAATCCTGTCGAGAAATTGAAACCCCGCAGTTGACCAGGAACTTTCAAGGGGAAGCCAATTTTTCGCACAAAATATTGGTGAGTATGTGCAACCAAAACCACTGGCTTGCTTTGTAAATCAAGTTAACTTAAACGCCAGGCGGCTATCTCATCCGTTTGATGTAAGTTAACTCACAGTGTACCCACAACCAGTCAGTTCTGAGAACCGAATCAGTACAAACCATTTGAATTCCGGCCGATTACTGAAACATCACGCTCCCTAGTCCTGTGTCAGAATGTTTTTGAGAAGACTCACCCAATGCCTCAATATGCTGCAGCTATTTTACACAAAGAATTTTTAGAACTGTTGAGTTTAGAGGAAACTTCGTGCCTAACCTATTTTTCCACAAGTGAAAACAAGTTCTCAGTGACTCTCCAGTAATGTTTAAAAGAGCTTCTGAAACCTAATGGCCTACCACTGAGCGGTTTGGTCACAATAAATGCTGTTTCAGAATGTTCGTATGCAAGTTGCCAGAAGAAGATAGTATGCAGCATGGTAATGTGAACACTGGTTTTGTAGGAATTTTTACCAAATTGATTGTCAAAATAATCACGTTTGCTGAAAACCCTGCACATTGACTGTAAAGAGACTGTCGCAGTATGCAGCCATGTATAACGAAGAAGCATTCAAATCTCATCCGGAGAATACAGGTCCTATATCATCGAAAACAGGATAGCAGCTCGTATAGGGCCAACATCATCAAAGTCGATGTAGTGACAAGTGATGGGGTACGATCAAAACCACAGTGCATAATTAGCCCCAGCCCATTGTTATATGAATGATATATCTCCCAATCGTCCGTCTAGCCTTTGATGCTGAGATGAAGCTGGGTAGGTTATCACATGGTATCATGTTTATGGCAGCAAGAATAAAAATAGGTTGTATGCAAGTCCTCACCCCGATAGGGAGACGGATGACCCATCTTGAAAGGAAGCGTGTGAAAACTGGAGATATGTCTACCTCTTTCCACAAGTTAGAACTACAGACAGTGAAATGGCTAAAGGACGTGTTTGAGCGTAATCTTGAATTTAGTGAAGGATTTCGGCGAGTCAATTTTTGTGATGGCATCACATGTCAATGCCCACTGCTTGTAAAGAAGGGTATTTTTGTTAACAGCCAACCTGCACTTCTCAGTATGATACTGAATTCTGCTGTTTAGGGAAACGCTATAATTAGCACAGTTCAAATTCTCAGGGGATCGAAGAACCAATTTTGTTTTTACGAGTTGATCATGGATTGATATCAGCTAGAGAACCATTGAAAACCGGGGAGTACTGGACAAACCAACCATAGAAAACAAATTTTGTGCTGACCTACTCCAAGCATATCGTTTAGAGTGATTGACTAAAGAACTGGAACTGGAGAAATGATGTGATAGATTTATCATGGCACATGTCATTAAAGTCCCGAGTGGACTAAAACACCAAATTCGGATGATTTCAAATAATTGTTGCCATAACGTAGAAGATTGATTTAATTCTGTGACAGAATTTAAAGTGCATAGTAGGATCATGTGGAACCTGACAAATTCGTTGTGTGTTGCGAATCTGACGTTGATAGTAATCAACTGTGGTACGCACGTTCAAGTTGCTGTGTAATTAATCCGCTATAATGGTTGTACACTTGGCTGACTAATAAATTTTCGACTTGCCGTTTGTCTATTAATATCGCTTGCATTGAAGTCGAGTTGGTTACTACGTACGTTAAATAGTATTCCGAATTCCGGAGAGTTGTCTCCCGGTCACAGAAAATTATCTCGATACCGTCAGTGATGAATGACATTGGAGGTTTCTTCGCAGACTTGTGCGCCGTCAGTGATCTGAGGATTGAAGGTGCCGTATACAAGCACAAGCGTATACACAAGGGAACATGAATTTCGCCCTATAGAAATACGAAAAACCAGGCAGATTTCATCTCAGTCTTGCTTGGGAAGGCGGAAACAAGGCCTACACTCAGTAGAGAAGGGAAGCAGATGTAAGCTCAGACAATCATCTAGTTTAAAGAACATTCAAGGTCAAGTCTAAAGCCGTCTAAACAACTGGGGACATTACACATTTTAAGTTCAGCACTATCCAACTGAAGAATGAGGCTACAAAGACTTCACTGCAGCTACAAGAGGAATATCGGAGACCATATGTGGCATCACTGGGGAAACCTGTGTAGAAGAACATTGGGACTCACTGAAGGTGATGTTCGAGGAAATGTGTACAACCGTTGTTGAAAGAAACAGGGGCAAGACAATAAATGGCTCCCAACGAACACCTGGAAGCCAATAGGAGTGAGGGGGATACTGGAACAGATGGCTCAGTGCAAAGATGGGCAACAGAAGGAGAAGCTGAGTCCAATGTGCTTTGCACTGATTAAAAGTTATAGCAGATAACACAGTGATCGAAAGGCGTGCTTACAATCACCTCACTAAACTTAATGGCAAGACACCAAAAGTCACCAAAATAGATGAACTACGGCTAACACGGCAGAACTCATAGCCTCCCCCCGCAAATCTCACAAAAATAGCTCAACAGAACACGATACCAACCGAAAAACTTGTGAACTATAATTTACTCCCAAATTAACCCTTCCACCCCTTACCGTGGATCTAGATATGTTTCCGGATAGCGCTAAGACAGAAATCATTGCCCCTCGTAAGCCAACTGCGTCCTCTCTTAGCGCTGACGTGAGAGTTTAAATGGAATTCGATAACAAAACATGCCGAAATACACCATTTATAACGAAAAATCCCCTACGTTTTCAAACTCCTAAGAAGAATTCACGCTGTAAGGGAAATGCGACAAAAAATCATACCAACAACCACACTGAAAGCAGAAATAAGGCCAAATCCTCAATGGACAGGAACATCAGAACATACTGGCATAAAATGCCAAGTCACACTAGGGCCCACTTTAATAGCTGGGGTAGAAACATAAACGCGCAAAACGGTACAAGCGACAACACTCATATTTCAGCTACCAACCACTCTGGGTCTTCAGAGTATGACACACAGACAAACTCTGACAGAATATATGGCACAAATCTTCTGGGAATTAAACCACAGTACAGCGATGCATATAATGAAACCCATGTAAGGACATATAGAATGTCTTCAAACATTATTCAGATTAATAAGTTATGAGCATCACAGGGTATCAGTAATTTATTATCCGCCACATCTCTGTCAGCGCTGAACGAAAAACTGGTGGGGATGTTAACTCTTTTGAACCCATACTACTGGCACGGGCTCTCTATAGGGAAGAAAACAGACACAGACTAGTGCGCACGCAACTATTAATCACATCCAATACTTGTACAGACATACGACAAATAAAAACTCCTACCCATTTCCCCAACTTACCTGAGCCTAGAATTACCCTATCCTACACCGAATCCAATAATACACCTCATTGTTCACTAAGAGTAGCAGACAGTAACTCAATAGACATAGGAGAGCATGGTATTGACATTAGGGGGAAAATAGTATTTTTTAAATGAAAAAAAAACAAAAAAATGATGAGCCCCATGTTTTTTTTACATATGTTTTGAATTATTAACACCTATTATATACTTCTGCACCTCTCTGTCGGTTTCCTTGTGTCTTCTTCTCTTTTCAAAGGTACTGCCTTAAACGAAGGCACTGAAACATTGCCGCTATCCTCGGAATATTGCTAGCCCACCTGGTGAATAACGGAACCACCTCTATCATGAAATCTGCTGACAAGTTCAAAGTTGGTCTCATATACAACTGGAAATGTCACAATTATGGTGTACTTACCGGTGAATTTGAAGTTTTATGGACTTTCAAACACTATGAATCATTTAATTACAATTACTGTTCATTCCGCATCTCTTATATTTCACGTCAGCACCTGTACGAAAATGCTACTTACCTTCCACAATTAACGTATTCGTTTA